CAAAATAGAGAGGTCAATAGGGAAGTCTATATCTAATTGTAAGTACAAATATTTTATTACAAAAATCAGGAAAATATCAACCCTTACTTGGAAAAACAGCTGTTCAACATTACAATAGGGTATAGAGGGGATTAGAATTTTAAGAACAGTCCATTGATACAAACTGCATGGATTTGTTTTGAGGATGGGTCAAAAATAGACTCTTTCAAACACAAATATGTAATAAAATTTTAATTGTTTATATCAATTGTGTTGTTGTGCTTGTCATAGAATTGATATCCCAACAACAAAAGCAATAAAAAATATACCTGAAATATTAAACTAACAATTAAAAATTGACTTCAAATGAAAAAAATTGTTGTCAGATGTTGCCAAAATTATTGGAGGGGTTTTTAAACGCAGATTTTTTTTATAATTTACGTAATCTTTTATTTTATTGGTGTTTTTTGGTTTTTTAACAGATTTTAAGTCACTTTTTGTACTGTTTTCTTTTTTCTCTCCTTTAATTTTAAACACAGTATTCTTTTTATAGTGTACATAACAAACTTTTCTTTGGTTGTTTTCACAGGTGTTAAGTCCCCATGTACTGATCCTACTTACGCCGATTCCCTCAGATTGATTAGATATGCGGAACCTTGCATTCAAATATTTCCCGTTATTGATTTGACATTGGACACACCAATGGATAGCCTCTGCCGGTACGTAGTTCTTTTAATTAGGTTACCTGAGTCATTCAAGTTCAAGGCAGCGATGTTAAAAGCATACTAATTAGTACCCGAAGCTTATAGGCAAAAGGTAAGAAAATATAGAAAATTTGATAATCAAACATTAGTTGAATTTTCACCAGAGAAAAAAAGATTTATTTGATCACTGGTTTAGATCTAAGAAACTTGAAAATTTTTTTGCTAATTTGCGTCAATTCATCCTGGTAGAAGAGTTTAAGGAATGTGTTCCTCAAGATTTGAAAACACATCTAGAAGATAAGAATGTGAAAACTCTTGAAGAGGCAGCAGTCATATCTGATACTTATTCTCTGTCTCATAAAAAGAATTTTGTTACAAGATCTCAGACTAGCAATAATTCTACAAATTCAGACATATATAAAAAGATGGTTCAGGGTATCAGTCTTTCACAAGTCCCTAATCTCCATTGCAAGGTGGTTCTAAGTCCGGTCCAGGACGTTTTGAAGGTTCCCCTGGAATATGGTCGCTTCCTACTTGTAGTTATCGTAAGAAAAAAGGTCATTTGATCAGCAAATGCTTTAAACTTAAGAGAAAAATATCCTTGATAAAACTCAGCCACACGCTTGTGCGGCAGTTAGGGTGATAGGGAAGCCTTAGTTTCGATATTTTCTGACAATCCTAATGTTCAGGGCTCAAAGTCCAGTTCTGTTGATTCTATGGAGGATTATAAGCCCTTTATGTCTCAGGGATTTGTTTAACTCGGTGACTCTAGCGAAATTAAACCTTTCCAGATTTTGAGAGATACTGGTGCTGAACAGACTTTGCTTTTAGAGGAAAATCCTGAAATACAACATCAGATCTCGCATTAGTCTGGTTATCTTTACTGTTAACATCAAATGTGAGGATTACAAACAGTAATCATGCTCAAAGTAAAATTAAACAACACGTGGGCAGGGCTTACAAAGACCTTTGACAACGTAAGAGGTTGGAACCAGATGCAATGGACGAGTGATTCCCCTGTCATAATTGGATAAATGGAGAAAACCCACGGGAAGTTTATATCATGGAAACAAAAGGCAAATAATTTTTACAAAACACGTAAGTCAACATCCGACCTAACGACAGATTGTATTAGCAATACAATTGTATCGACTGTAGAATTTTCGAAAAATATAAACTTGTTCATTAGGTTTTGTTTGTTTTGCCTATTCCTTAAACGGTTTCGATCCAATTGCAGAGCCCTAGGGAAAATGAAGTGATGAAGGTCTTTTTTGCTTTGTTTACAATTTAAATTGTTTCAAAGGACTTTTGAGCATGAATACTGTTCTTATCTCCATAAATCATTGTCTTTTCTCAAAAGGTACATCAGGTTGAAATAAACACATCACCATATAAAATCCTAATATGATATTATCACAATGAAATGTAAAAATAGCAAATAGTAATCATGCTCTAAGCAATAAAAATTGTGAGCAGAGCAGACGAGTACATTTGAAAACTGAAATGGGATCAGGTATCAAAAATGAGTATGCATCCCCATCGACCAATAACACCGGCTGTGTGCAACTTGATACGATCGGGTAAATGGAAAAATCCATAGATAATTCATTAAGAAAAGAATGACCGAACAATTTGAATGAAAGAAGTCGGGAAAGATTCTAGCTATCAGAAGAGAGGTAATATTTGCAGCGAGGTCATCGTGCCTACCATTTATTTTTCAAAATGATGACTTTAAACGAGAATTTGATACCGTTTATCATCATTATTTGTCTGTAGCTTACTTAGTTTTAGAAATTGGTCGTACGTAGAATATGCAACTGACAAATGGACAAAATATAATGTTACGTGTTTTATCTGTCTTAAATTAAAACCTATACTATAACTTCATGAACTTTCTATCTGAATAATATACTGAAACGCAAAAGAAAAGCAACAAGCAGTAATCTGCAAATATTTGAATTTTTTATATGATAATTTTCAAAAATCAATACGGTTTGGTAAAACTCGATTAAAAAACATCAGAGATATGATAAATATGTTAAAGGATTATCTTAATTTTAACTTTAGAAAGTAACACATGACTGTTAAAACACCCCCACCCCGACCATTCAATTACAGCTTGCAAGACTGTCATGCACAACAAATGAAGCTTGATTTCTACGATGCAGTAGGTTCATCATTTTCGAGATCTAAGCGAAAGAAATATTCTCTGCCATTTTTAAATGCCTGATTTTCAGATGATTAGGTCGAATTTTCTCTAGCCTAGTGCAGTGTAGTAACCCCTGGACTTCCGGTCCAAGGACTGGACATTCATGCTAATGATACGTAAGAGCCTGTTTAGGCGTGATGTAGTGCATGTTTGCATCTGCAACTCTCTTTTACCTTTATTTTGGATTTCCAAGCTAGAGCAATGGAAATGTGTACTTAAGTCATTATCAGGAAGCCTTGGCAATTCTTACAGAAAAGAAAGCGGAGTTTATTTTTCGGAATATTCCTGCATTACTTATGATACAAACCCTTAAACCCCTATATTATTGTCAATTGTTTTTTTAAACATGCATTTTTTTTTTAATTTTTGTTAAGCGGACTCAAACTTAACTTCCGGTAAATGGCATGAAAATCATTCAACCGTTAAATTACCGATATTTACTCATTGCAGATATCCTTACTTTTTAGATACAAAATTATATTCTTTATATAAAATTTTCTCCTAAAATAGGATGTTGCGTTTCTTTTGCGTTTCAGTATATTTGAATGCCCTACCCGTTCACTTCAGAATCTATACTTATAAATTAATAAATTTTGCAGATAATCTCCGAAACGGGTGCTCCAGAGTTCTTACTAACTCCTCTTTGAATACACTAGATACAAGATGATGTCCATGAACTATATTCAGATTTCACTCGCATTGTAAGTATCGTACATTAAATTAAAAGTCTACTTTCATTTTCTATAAACAGCAATGAAATAGCAAAACCGTGAGTACGGTGGCGGTTCTGGTTGGTGGATCTAAGTTACTGGCAAATTTTAATGAAACTGACAACAAGTAATCGTTTATTTATTTCATAAAAGTCATCAGTGAATTGTTCAATCAAAATGTGATTTAAATGGTACAAAAGAAATTAATAAGTTGTGATAACCGATTAAAAAGGGAAATGTGCAAATTATTTTCATCATTCACCGATCTTAACATTGACGGAAACTTCTAGAACATCATATAGCATCGATCCCGATGTTAAAAAGAAAAAAACGAGGCGATTATATAGTTGCATGAACATAAAAATGCTTTTGTGTGAATGGTCATTGAAATAATGGCAAATCATTGATAACACTATAAGATGTGAATATATTTATTTATCGAAATACTATTAGTCGGTTTTCCTAATAAATTTATCTGTAAAATTTGTATATTCGTCACTAAGAGCATAGTGACAACGAACCCGAAGTACAGTTTGTTAAATTTGCTTACAAAAAAAAAAAAAAAAAAAAAAAAATTAATGAAAAAGGTGTTGTTTAAATACAATTAAAGCTGTTAAAATTTTTGCTTTAATCACTACATTTCAGTCTTTTTTTCTTAATACAGTCTTTTGTATCAAATACTCGGCCTATTCATAGGGTGTTAAAAGCTAATGTTTTCTAAAAAAAAAAAATGATCATAAAAATTTGCATAGTCGGTGCTATTATCCTTGACGAAAATGAAATAAGAGCACCTGAAGTACACTATCCATAACATAGTATAAAATGTTTCTCAATTAACTTCAGTTAATGAAATTGTTAGTTTTCAAGTTTTTTCAAAAAGGGAAGGGGGGGGGGGTTGGTGGTGGTGACGTACATCCACTTCTCTCCAAAGATATATGCGGCATTTTGAACAAGACATTTCTTCCTGCTATAAGCCTGTAGGCTGTCAGTAGAATCTAAAATATATATTATTGGATTTTTTTTTTATGTCGGTAGTGGTATAAATTCAATTCCCCGCGCTTACGCGGGATTTCATCCAGTTCAATAAATAAATCATCTTTTTTCATTCAAAATTGTACTCGGTTTCCGCTTTCAACACAGTATATTTGATGCTCCTCTTTTGAATATTGAATACTGTGCTATCTGTTTATTTGTCTTTTTAAATAAATAAACAATAGATACCTAACCTTGTGTAATTTGAGCTAGCACTGCTACATGTACTTTCTCGACATACCAAAAAAAAAAAAAAAACAACAACAACAACAACAAAAACGGAAGTATGTTGTAACCTCGTGACATCCCCGTTGAACTTAGTTTTTAAAAGCTCTTTAATGTATCCTTATTTCGTCAATGCTAAACCCTCTCATAAAGACGTAATGGCGTTTTATATTTTCTTTATTGGAGGTGTTTATTATTCTCAAACAGGTAATGCAGATATTTTTGTAGCAAATCTTCTGCTTTTTGTTACATTGTATATCAAGGTCATGTTGGCCTGTAAAACGGGACAAGAATAAATTTTGCTACTATTTTATTGTAAATGAAATACAGCAAATTATGTGGAAAGGTTTGTCGAAATACGGACAAAATTAATGTTAGATATATTGTCAATGACTCAATTAGTCAAATTGCTCGTCATTGATTTGGACCAAAATTGAATTTAAATAGAATCAATATTTCCCCTCGCTAATAATCAAAGTGCCAAACCTTCAACTTTATTGGATTTTATTATCTTTCCTTGAAAAAAAGCCACATGGAATTCATGAAGAGTCTTCTGAAATATATACGCAGTTGAAGCCATAAAAATGTGCAAGCCTTTTCAAAATGAGGATTAAAAGAGTCGGTTTTTTTGGAGCAAATTTAGTGATTATACAAACTGAATTTTAACTAGTTTTCACCTCTATAAAATTACATGCAGTATTATTGTTTACAGACACAAGAAATGAGCAAAATTAAGCTATTACTGATATTTACGATATTTACTGCTCAAACCTACATAAAACAAGTATTGATTTATTTTGTTCTTGCAGCACGATTATTAATGATAGCTTCCGTCCGGGCCTCCTATCATGACAAATCTTTTAAGTGTAGCTAAACGAAATTGTATAGGTATAATTTTAGTACGTTTTAACAATTTTAAATGAAAACTATGTATAAAAAAATTATATTCCTTGGAATCATCTTAATTCGTGGGAGGCAATGTTCGTGGGCAGGCAAAGGTTTACTTGTTCGCTGGGACGCAATTTTGTGGGTTACTCGTTTATACATGTACGGTAGATTCAATGAATCATTATGTTTACAAAGTAAATATTCGTGGGGATGTAAAAGGTAAAAATAAGGTAGAGCAACGAAATCCACGAAGAATGGTCCCGAGTATATATATATATATATATATATATATAGAAAGCACAAAGAAATTCACTTTTATAAGGATACCCACTTCCGCCCCAGCCCGGGGTTGAACTCTCGACCTAGGGAATCTGTCTCCTAGCAGTACAGGAACAGCGCGCTAGACCGCACGGCTATCTAGGCAAGTCAAAAAACTTGCTTTCGATGCCGATGGAATTCTCGCGGCGCTGTCCTACACTACACAGTCATTGAGAATGGAAGTGAGATACAGTTATTTGGACAGTAGTTTTATTAGAGGATCGTTACCAATACACGTTGTAATGAAATTAATTTTTATTTATAAAGCACATTTTACAACAACTCTTAAACTAACATAACTGCCCTAAGTGAAGAAATATTAATACAGAAAGCACAAAGAAATTCACTTTTATAAGGATACCCACTTCCGCCCCAGCCCGGGGTTGAACTCTCGACCTACGGAATCTGTCTCCTAGCAGTGCGAGAATTCCATCGGCATTGAAAGCAAGTTTTTTGACTTGCCTAGATAGCCGAGCGGTCTAGCGCGCTGTTCCTGTACTGCTAGGAGACAGATTCCGTAGGTCGAGAGTTCAACCCCCGGGCTGGGGCGGAAGTTGGTATCCCGATAAAAGTGAATTTCTTTGTGCTTTCTATATATATATATATATATATATATATATATATATATATATATATATATATATAAGTTCATGCAAATATTGTTATTAATCAGTTTGTATTTGTCTACGCATTTGTATAATTCTGCAGATGTGACAGAGTTTTCAACAAGTTTTAATAGCATAACCATAGACAGGATTATAACAACAGATGATTTTACTACAACAGGTATACAATATATAATTTGAAATGCAAGTCAAATTGATTACAATCATCGTTTCTGAGTTTTAATTTTCTTTCTATTCACCAGACATTTTCTTTACATTCTATATCTTTACATCTCTTTATAGGTGACATAAGTTCATCAGATGATTCCGAAGGAGGGGAGGAATTTTCCACTACCCTCAGTACAGTATATTCTTTGAGCACAGAAATTGAAAATACCAAAAGTATGTATTGTACAAATTTATCCTACTAAAATATTTTCAAGTAACTATTTATAGTATGCCCTTTCAAATAAATTTATTTTTTGCTGCCTAAACATACAATGTAAATAAAAATATTCATACTTTTCAAAAAATACTATTGTAAACTATAGTTTCCTAAAGTAATAACTTTGACAGTATGAAAACTATAGTTAACTAAAGTATATATCTTTGACAGTTTGATTTACTATTGTGATAACTATTAAAACTTTGATTTTCTATAGTGATCACTATGACACAATAGTGAAATCTATGAAAACTTATATTAACTATAGCGATCACTATGACACTGTAATATAACTATGAAACCTTTGAAATACTTCAGTGATCACTATGAAATCTTTGATTTGTTATGGTTATCAATCTAATATACCTTATATCGATGTATATAATATGATAACTCTATACATCTTGTTTTATGTACTAAACTATTAATATAATGTGATTTAATAATATAAAAAAAAAAAAAACAAGTAAAAATGAAAAACAAACGATATTCATTTTAGAAATGTTTAGCAAGTAGCAGTCATTGATAAATGAGGTTTCAAAAAGCATCGCTTAAAATTAAAATTATAAAGTCACCATAATCACTCAGGTGACCTATTGCTGTTTTCGTCCGTCGTCTTGCGATGTGCGTCGTCCGTTAACATTTGAACATTTTCAGCTTCTTCTTTGGAACCGCTGACCAAATTCCATCAATTTTGGCATACAGCATATACATGTAAGAGTGAAGAGGAACAAAAATCGTGGATTTCATGGTCCCTGCCCCCCTCCCCCCCCCGGGGGGGGGCTTAAGAGGTGGTGCTTAAACAATCAGAATAAGTGTTATTTTCTTTACTCTTAGACATCCAGCAGTTGAACTGTTGTCATGATTATAATAAGCATTGAGTCCTCTACAAAAATTGTAAAATTCATGGCCACAGTGTCAGGGGCTCTAGTGCTAGGGTGAGGTTATATAGATCATATAGTGAAAATGTATTATATCTTTGAAAATCTTCTATGCTTGTAGGGATGAAATTAACTAACTAACTACATAGTTATGAAAAGCAAGAGTGCCTCTTCCAAAATTGTGAATATAATGGCTCCTGAGTCAGGGGTTCTGGTTGTAGGTTGGGGCTCTATTGATTTTAAAGTGAAAATGCACTTATTATTTCAAAATCTTTTTCTCTGCTCTTGGGTATTAAAGAGACTAATTAAGTACATAGTTATGTTGAGCAAGGGTGCCTCTTCCAAAATAGTGAATTTCATGTCCTCAAGGTCAAGGACTCTGGTGTAAGAATGGGGCTCTATTGATTATATTGTGAAAATGCATTGGTTCTTTGAAAATCTTCTCTGCTCCTTGGTATTGAACATTTGCGGAATAGCGGACAGTGGACTAAAGACTTCAGACTTTGGACGTTAAATACTGTAAGGGGGATATTTCAAAGTGTAAAATTTATGAATCGCCTTTTATTTGAAGTAATGCAATGGCACTTAATATCATTATTATAAACTAAACTGTATATTTCTGTGAAATTTATAAATAGGAACAGATGCAAAACAGTTTACGCAATGTTCCAGTCAGTTTCTTCGGAATCAGACTTCACACCGAGAATCTTAAATAGTATTGGGACTTTTTGGTCAAGAAAACATTGCATACTATCTGAACCCTCCCGCACACACACACTCCTTCGTGTTCAGCAAATACACAAAGTGCATAGTTTAGATGAGCAAAGGTTCTTCATTTAAAATGTTAAAACTTGTATTCCCAGGGTGAGGAGTTCTGGTGTTTTTCGAGGTGAGGGGGGGGGGGGATTGATAACACAGGCAAAATATGTTAATTCTTTGAAACTCTTCAATTAAGTGCATAGTTATGAGGAGGAGGGTGCCTTTTCCAAATTTGTGAATTTCATGACTCTGGTTAGGGTTCTGGTGTTAGGGTAGGCTGTGTTGAATCTGTAGTGCAAATGCATTATTTCTTTGAAAATCTTCTCTGCCACTGGGCATAAAGGAGGCAAACAATGTAAAAGTTTGAATAAACAAGGGTATATTTAACAGATTTTTGAACATCTGTACCATTTACTCAAGTGTTCTGGTCATGACCAGGGTTCTATTAATTTGTATTCTACTGAGAGAAGTTAATATCGTTTGTCATTCAATTTTGATAATCACTGTGAATAATGTATTTGAAAGCTTAAAAGAATAAATGAATTATGCAAGTATTTTTATTGTATAATACAAAAAGTATTTTTTTTTTAGTTTTGATGATCAGGTAGACTTGTAAATAACAGATTAATAAAATAAGAGAGACCAAAGTGAGAGATTATAATATGGGGTTAAAAAAGGACAGAAGGAGGACTGATTAGTTCGTTAGTAGTCTGCATGCTGATAGTGATAAATGGGGGACAGATTAGGACTTAATTTAAGAGTTGTTACTGTATACTTAACTTATTATTTCGTTGACCCTTATCATCATATTTCTCTTGCTTTTGGGCAACAAAGCTTCATCTTTCACTTTATTTTATACTCTATGTACAATACATTTGACCGTTAAGGCCCTTAAGCCTCTTATTTGAAATACAAGACATCAACAAATAACTTGGATTAAAATCTGCAAAATTTTGAATATAATCTTTGGAGAAAATCTGTACAACTGGATATTATCTATGTTGTGCAATTAATCTGAAATGAATTGAAACGTCTATCACAGAACGTTATATACCGTTATGATAAATCTTTAACATTGATTTACCATAGTGACTACTTTGACACTTTGATTCACAATTGTAATAACTTTGAAAACTTTGATTACTATAGTGATCACTGTGACACTACAGTGATAACATTGAAAACTTTGATTACTATAGTGATCACTGTGACACTACAGTGGTAACATTGAAAACTTTGATTACTATAGTGATCACTATTACACTGTAGTGATAATTTTGAAAACTTTGAATCACTATAGTGATAACTTTGATTTACTATTGTAAACTATAGTTTACTATAGATTTTTTTTTCTTCTGGGAGCATTAAAATATATCTCGGAAGATTATAAAAGCTCATATAAAAGATTATCAAACATGTAAAAACTACTACCCTTTAAAACCAGAAAAATGCTTCCGATTGATCTGTAAAAATTGAACATTCTCCAAAAGTTTGTTCTTTTTTACGATTGTGTTTTATGTGGTTCTTCGCTTAAGTGACTATATGTGCGTAATGTTACCAGCCATTCAAAGAGTTCCATTGCTCGTGTCTTGTTATCTATAAATAGTCCGAATATAAATAGAGATTATTTACTTAAGAAAATATAATTAAATAAATTATAAATATTAATTATGTAATAGGGTAATATTTTTTTTAATTTAATCAAAGAGACGTCACCTGATTGTCGATTGCCGGGAGTATTATACAGAGGAACTAAAAACATAACGCTAACAGGACGGGTGTGCCAGAGATGGGCTGAGCAGAGTCCACATGAACATAATTATGATGTCATCAGTCTTGCACAAGAGAACTATTGTCGGAACTTTGATCGAGAGGAGCCGTGGTGCTTCACTACTGACCCGGATGTACGCTGGGAGCTCTGTGGTGTAGATGTTTGCGGTAAGTTCAGAAATATAATAAAATTCTTGATATTGTTCTAAATATTAATCAAATCTCTATCAGATGGAATCTTAATTGGTGTTTTTTAAACAAAATTTCTTTAAATAGTTTGAAATGACTTAAAATTTCTCTTCGTTTCAGCGACTCCATGTCTGAATCAGTCTTTTTATAGGAATGACGTCATTAAACAGTGCTACTCAGGCAATACTCAGGTGGCAGCTGCAGACTGCGAGTAATATTTTTCCTTTTATTTAGAATTGTGATAATCAATTTTCACATTAGATTTTCACAAACTTCATGGTTTTTATCCTTTGTAAACTGAATATGAACTTATATACAGGAGATATGCCCCAGCTAGATGAAAATGAAGAAAAATATTAAAACTCGGCTAAAATGATTTTCTGTGATATATCAATTAAAATCAATTCTACTTTTGAAATTTATACAATACATACATGTTACAATCTCATCAGTATTGATTGCAAAAAAAAAAAAAAAAAATATATATATATATATATATATATATATATATATATATATATATATATATATATATATATATATATATATATATATATATATATATATATATATAACGGTAAAAAAAAGAGTCAAAACTAGACTCTTCATGATATGTTCTATATTTTTTTACCATTTCAGATTTAAAGGAAAATATTTTGATATTTTTTTTTATCAAATAACCAGCAAAGAGTTTGCAAATCTTACAGTTTTGATTTTTGATATTTTTTTCATGAACCCATAGTATCTATAAAATTTTGTATAACTCCATAAAAAAGGAAAGTATTGTAAATTTTTACATTTTGAGATGTCAATTTTAAATATCCAGCTGCGGACGGTACAATTTTGTGTTTCTTAATATGATGTACAATAAAGTATTACTTACAACATACAAATATTTTGAGGTAAAAGTTTATTGAAGAATTTCTAAAATTTGCTTTAAAGTGTGAAAAAATTGGCAACCGTAATTTGAGATGGTCCCTAAAAATACCCATCGATGGATTTTCCTAAAACTTGGCATGTATACTGAAATCACTTTAGGTTAAACTCAGAGGAAAAAGTTTTTCTATCTTAGTTTTAACGCAATAAAACCCGAATCGGACCTCTTAAATGATACATAATTCTCATTCCATTTAAAGGTGCTTGGACACAGATTTGAAGTTAATATTTTCTCAGATTTTCTGTATAATATCATGACTTATATGTTGCTATAGCATTTCATACTAAACTATAATAAAAATCTTATTTCATCTCGAAGTTATTGAAAATTCAAATTTCTGGACGCGTTTGATTGACACATCCTTGAACTTTCATAATTTTTAATTTTATTCTTAATACTGAAGAAAAGTGGCAGTTTTGTTGTGTATTAATGAAAAGTATTAAAACTATTATCCAGAAAATTCAGAGTAGAAATGTTCGAAAGCAAAACCCACTCACAGTATTGTCAGTCCGTGCTCAGTGGTGTGTGCAGACTTTAACAATTGAACACACCCGGTGAATTGTAAACATTAACAATAACAGAGCTCGTGCCCTGTTTACAGAAACAGTTTACGTTTCACGGGTGTATTCAATTTGTTAAACTCTGTACACAACACTGAGCACGGGCTGACGATATTAGTGAGGGGGTTTGCTTTCGCACATTTCTACTCTGAATTTTTTTTAAATATTAAGGATAAAGATAAAATTTTTGAAAGTGCAAGGATGTGTCAATCAAACGCGTCCAGGAATTCGTAGTTCCAATAATTTTCAGATAAAATAAGTTTTTAACTGTATTGTCGTGTGAAATGCTATTGCAATATATAAGTCGTGATATTGTACAGAAATTTTGAGAAAATATTAACTTCAAATCTGTGTCTAAGCACCTTTAAAAGAAAGTACTTTCCGCATTTGATTTTTATTCTATCAATATTATGAAATGAGCACCAACCACACGATGAAAAAGGTGAAGATATCGAACCGTGAGCGATCTCATTAAATTAATTCTTTAAGTAAAACGAATAGTGAATATGGCCAAAAAATAACCTCCTTAAAGTACCATTTAACGGCAAAACATTGGAATTATATTTATCTTCAACCGTTGAACATATAAACTCAAACTGGAATTACATTGTACATAGACTAAGAAAACTTACTAAGCAATTTTCATTATTCATTATTTTGTTATTTGAAAAAATCCTGAAATTACAAAGAACTACTTTTCCAGATTGATTTCTACATTTGGTCTTTGTCTAAAGAAACAAATAGAAATTTCCTCTGGCGTGAAGTGTCCTGAAGTAAAATTGAGATCAATTCTTCTACAAATGAAAAGCAAAATAGAGAGGTCATTAGGGAAGTCTATATCTAATTGTAAGTACAAATATTTTATTACAAAAATCAGGAAAATATCAACCCTTACTTGGAAAAACAGCTGTTCAACATTACAATAGGGTATAGAGGGGATTAGAATTTTAAGAACAGTCCATTGATACAAACTGCATGGATTTGTTTTGAGGATGGGTCAAAAATAGACTCTTTCAAACACAAATATGTAATAAAATTTTAATTGTTTATATCAATTGTGTTGTTGTGCTTGTCATAGAATTGATATCCCAACAACAAAAGCAATAAAAAATATACCTGAAATATTAAACTAACAATTAAAAATTGACTTCAAATGAAAAAATTTGTTGTCAGATGTTGCCAAAATTATTGGGGGGTTTTTTAAACGCAGATTTTTTATAATTTACGTAATAACCTTTTATTTTATTGGTGTTTTTTGGTTTTTTAACAGATTTTAAGTCACTTTTTGTACTGTTTTCTTTTTTCTCTCCTTTAATTTTAAACACAGTATTCTTTTTATAGTGTACATAACAAACTTTTCTTTGGTTGTTTTCACAGGTGTTAAGTCCCCATGTACTGATCCTACTTACGCCGATTCCCTCAGATTGATTAGATATGCGGAACCTTGCATTCAAATATTTCCCGTTATTGATTTGACATTGGACACACCAATGGATAGCCTCTGCCGGTACGTAGTTCTTTTAATTAGGTTACCTGAGTCATTCAGGTGACCTATTGCTATCCCTTTTGAGTCTGTCGTCGTCATTTGAACATTCTCAACTTCTTTTCTTGAACCGCTTAACCAGTTTCAACCAAATTTGGCATAAAACATCCATGGGTGAAGTGGAACACAAATTGTGAATTTCATGGTCCTTGACCCCCCCCCCCCCCCCCGGGTCCCGAGTATTGGTGCCAAAACCACCAAAATCAATGCAATTTTTAAAAATTTTCTTCTTTACTCCTGGACATTAAGCAGTCAAACTGTTGGCATGTTTCTAATAAGCACTAATCTCACTACCATAGTTGTGAAATTCATGGCTCCAGTGTCAGGGTTCTGGTGCTACGGCGGGGCTGTATAGATCATATAATGAACGCGCTTTATTTCCTTCTGAAATTCCTATTCTCCTGGGTATTAAACAAACTAACTAAAACATAGTAAAGATAAGCAAGGCTGCCTCTTCCAGAATTATGGGCCAGGCGAGAGCGTGAACGGAAATTTGAGTTAGAAAAATTAGAAAGACAAGAGTGAGAAAGATAGCGTGAAATGAACTTTGAGTTAGAGAAATTAAGATTACAGCACCAAACAGAACCTTTAAATGTCAGGTCTGAATTTGACGCAGCCAGACATTTCAGATTAACTGCAAAATTATTTGTTAAAAGGCACTCTGGAGTTGATATTAAAAAGATGCTTGAGTTTCTGATTGACAATATCCATGTAGTTTTTGGAGATCAAATCTTCCAACAATCTGTTTGAATTTCCATGGCTACCAATTGCGCGCCCTTATAAGCAGACCTTTTTTGTATTCATATGAAGCAAAATTTATTCAAAAACATCTACATGAGAAGAAGAAAACACTTGTTGTGGCCCTCAACTCGACATTTAGATATATCGACGACGTATTATCAAGTAACAATTGTTACTTACATTCATATGTCGCCTCGATATATCCCAGTGAGCTTGAAATAAAAGATACCACAGATTCTACCACATCTGTTTCAGATTTTAAACTTTTACTAGAAAATGACGTTAATGGTAACCTAACAACAAAGCTTTATGATAAACGTGCTGACTTCAACTTTTCAATCGTCAACTTCCCTTACTTATGTAGCATAGAACTTGATCACCTGCATATGGGGTTTATGTTTCTGAATACGCAAGAGCATGCTCTACGTATGAAAAATTTCTAAAACGAGGCAAGCTATTGAAAAACAAACTGTACAAAAACAAGGATATCAACAGTTTCATATTTGAAGTCATCTTTCGCAAATTTTTCGGTCGATACAATGACCTTGTCAGCACATACGATCTATCTTTGAGTCAAATGCTGACAGACGTTTTTTAAACTTATTATTAGGCCATTATTTATACACTGAACTGTCTTCGGATTTTTCCGGTTTTGTTTCCTGATCATGACATGGAGCATACAGCGGGTGTGACCGGTCGACCGGAGATGCTCACTCCTCCATGGCACCTGATCCCACTTCTAAATTTTGAGGTCCGTGTTTACTCTGCTCCAAATTTGTATCGTTTCGTTGGACTTTCGAGATTGAATATTGTTCGTTATCTTAATATTTCATTCCAAAATTTAAAGAAAAATATGTGGGCAAAATATTTCCCACAATTCGAAAAAGTTGCAGAGAATCTTAAATGGCTAGGAAATGTTTGGTCAACTAAGCTACATAGTGTACTGATTGGCAAAGCGGCTCAGGTATACTCTGCACTAGGGGTAGCTGAGAGTTAAGAACATGACAAGTTCAAGGCAGCGATGTTAAAAGCATACTAATTAGTACCCGAAGCTTATAGGTAAAAGGTAAGAAAATATAGAAAATTTGATAATCAAACATTAGTTGAATTTTCACCAGAGAAAAAAAGATTTATTTGATCACTGGTTTAGATCTAAGAAACTTGAATTTTTTTTTGCTAATTTGCGTCAATTCATCCTGGTAGAAGAGTTTAAGGAATGTGTTCCTCAAGATTTGAAAACACATCTAGAAGATAAGAATGTGAAAACTCTTGAAGAGGCAGCAGTCATATCTGATACTTATTCTCTGTCTCATAAAAAGAATTTTGTTACAAGATCTCAGACTAGCAATAATTCTACAAATTCAGACATATATAAAAAGATGGTTCAGGGTATCAGTCTTTCACAAGTCCCTAATCTCCATTGCAAGGTGGTTCTAAGTCCGGTCCAGGACGTTTTGAAGGTTCCCCTGGAATATGGTCGCTTCCTACTTGTAGTTATCGTAAGAAAAAGGGTCATTTGATCAGCAAATGCTTTAAACTTAAGAGAAAAATATCCTTGATAAAACTCAGCCACACGCTTGTGCGGCAGTTAGGGTGATAGGGAAGCCTTAGTTTCGATATTTTCTGACAATCCTAATGTTCAGGGCTCAAAGTCCAGTTCTGTTGATTCTATGGAGGATTATAAGCCCTTTATGTCTCAGGGATTTGTTTAACTCGGTGACTCTAGCGAAATTAAACCTTTCCAGATTTTGAGAGATACTGGTGCTGAACAGACTTTGTTTTTAGAGGGTGTGCTTCCTTTGTCTGAGCAGACTTCTACTGGTGGGTCAGTTTTATCACAAGGTTAGGAGCTAGGCGTCATTGATGTTCCACTACATAGAATGTGTTTGAATTCAGATTTAGCTACTGGACCTGTAACTTGTGGGTGTTAGATCTATTCTTCCCGTTCCAGGCGTTTCTTAGTTGCTAGGCAACGATTTAGCTGGTGGAAAAGTTGTACCGAATCCCATAGTTTGTGCGAAAATCACTCCAGATGTCATTTGTAATGATGAAGACGATGAAATTATCCAGTCTGTGCTGTTACTAGAGCGATGGCCAGAAGACGAGAAATGGAGGCTGACCATACTCAAGCCTTTGACAAGGCAAATTCCTCTACTGACATTGATTTGAATGATACTTTCTTTTCTTACCTTGATGGCACTGAAACAAGCATGGATAAACACAATATTAAAAAGCCGGTGGAGAATGAACCTTTATCAAAATTTAATGGTGATGATGATAATTTACCAGTAAACAAAGACAAGGACATCCGCCGCAGTCGAGAGCAGTTACTTTCTGAACAACATAAAGACCCTGATAGCATCCAACTTAGTAAGAGGGCACTTTCACCAGAAGAGACCACTAAAGTTGGAGAATGCTTCTATAAGAAAGATGGCATCCTTATATGAAAATGGCGGCTATCTGACACTTTCCCGACCTAGATGAAGTGTGGCGTGTTGTTCACCAGATAGTGGTCCCAGCTGCTTCTCATAGAGATGCCATGAGTTTAGCTCATGACACACATCTGGCAGGTCATTTAGATGTCAACAAGACTTATAATAGAATTTGAGTCATTTTTCTTCGCCTAAGCTAAGAAGGATGTTTCGGAGTTTTGTAAGTCATGTCATGTTTGTCAGATGGTAGGTAAACCGAATCAGAAGATACAATCTGCTCCTCTCCAACCAATTCCAGCTTTTGAAGAACCGTTTAGTCGAGTGTTTGTGGACTGTGTAGGACCTTTGCCTAGGACTAGGTCAGGGAACCAGTATTTACTAACCATTATGTTACATCCACTTGATTCCCCGAAGCCATACCTCTAAGGAATATTAAGGCAAAGACCAAATTAAGGCCCTTACCAAGTTTTTCAGTTTTCTAGGAGCACCTAAGGCAATTCAGTCAGATCAAGGATCGAATTTTATGTCGGAATTGTCCCAGCAAGTCATGCATGAGTTAGGTATTAAGAAGTATAAATCGACTGCTTATCATCCTGAGTCCCAGGGGGCGCTTGAACGCTTTCATCAAACCCTAAAACGATGCTGAAGACCTGTTGTTACCAGTATGAGAAAGACTGGGATAAAGGGGTTCAACTTGTACTATCTGCTGCAGGAGAGGCAGTCCAGGAGTCTCTTGGGTTTTGTCCTTTTGAATTGGTGTTTGATCATACGGTTAGAGGTCCTTTGAAATTGCTGAAGGAAAGGTGGCTTACTGAAATTAGTTATCTTAATCTTTCAGTTTATGTGTCTGGTTTCAAAGAAAAATTTTATAGTGCTTGTAAATTAGCAAAAGAAAATTTGAAGAGTTCTCAGATGAAAATGAAAATGTGGTATTGCAAAGATGCCAGGAATCGAGTTTTTAAGCCATGTGATAAGGTTCTCGTATTTTTACCTATTTCTGGTCATCCTTTACATGCCAGATATTATGGCCTTCATGAAATTGAAAGCAAGATTAGTGATGTAAAATACGTAGTTAAGACGAAAAGAGAAACGGGTTTGTCACATTAACATTTTAAAAAAGTACTTTGAAAGGTGTGACCGAATTTTTGTAAAACCACTTTCCACTTTAGCCAATGCGAAGACTATTCAAAATTGTATTGAAAATGATATGAGTGTAGAAATGAATGCGAAAGATTGTAATCGGAGTGCCCGTTTGGAAAACTCAGAAATTTTGGCTGATTTTAATGCCAAACTTGGACATTGGAACATTCACCAAAAAGAACAAGTTGAAAACTTGATGAATGAGTATCATTAAATCTTTTCAAATGTTCCAAAGAAAACTAATGCAGTTTGTCATGATGTCATAGTGGGGGACGCTTTGCCTATCAAACAACATTCTTACCATCTAAATCCAATAAAACTGCAGTACCTAAGAAGAGAAGTGCAGTACATCTTGGACAATGACATTTTAAGCCTATTAAAAGTAATTGGAGCTCTCCATGTATTCTTGTACCAAAACCGGACGGTAGCTACTGATTATGTACAGGCTTTAGAAAGGTGAACTCTGTCACAAAACCTGATTCGTATCCAATCCCTAGAATCGATGACTGTATTGACAAAATTGGAAATGCCAAATTACTCACTTAATTTGACCTGTTTTTAAGGGCTACTTGCAAGTGCCGTTAACTGAAAGAGGAAAAGAAATATCACAGGAAGAAACAAGACCTTTCAGTTAAAACTGAATGGCGGCTT